ACGTTTAGTATAGATTTCTCAGCGAAGAGATATTTTCCCGCAGTAAAAAATATGCTGACCCGGATAACCAGCTATCATCATACATCAAAATCTATCCGGTGGTTTTCTCGTGATGCGTTCCCATACACACAACAGACAGACAAAAATTCTAAAAACTATAGATTCGGCCTCTGTATTGATAATAATGGCTATTGCAATAAGGTTTTCCAAAAAGTATTCAATGTACAGATTCGACTCAGAATTTTATTATATGTTTAGATCTACGAATAAACAGACTTTTTAGTTATTCGTAGGTAATAGGTATAGATAGCTTTTCCTGTTTGTATATTAAATTGTAAATGAAAATAGGTCTTTGTCGTGGTTTAGGTGAAAATTTGAATCAAAAACATTTAACTAAATAAAGTGCGTAATCTATACCGGTATTATAAAGAGATAAAGTTTGTGAGTTTGTGACGTTGTAGGGGGTAATCTCTGGATCTATTGAACCGATTTAGATGAAATTTGGTAAGAAGATAGTTTGAGACCTTGAGAAGGACATAAGATAGTTTTTATCCAGGTAATCATCTCTAAAGGGGGTGAAAATGGGGATGAGAGTTTGTATTGTGAAGCAAGCTAGGGACGAACCCGAGCGAAGCGAGGGTGAGTCGCTAGTCTATATATATCATCTATATATATAAATCGGAAAATATAAAACAGTGCAGTCTGTGTTACTCCTCTATTTGTCTATTGATTTCCTTTCTTTTATGTTTAGGAGCTATTGACGAGCATTAGCATTATACTATCAGTAAAAATAATTGAAATCTGTTAGATTTTTTTTACATATAAATCGATAAATGCTAAATAGTTCAGTACATTTTCCTCCGATTTGTCAGCTGATTTTGTTTTTTTTTTTGTTTAGCAGTTCTTCGCGAGTTTTAGTGTTTAATAATTTAAGTAGTTTAATAATAAAAAAAGTGATTATAAACGAATTTAGACCACTGAGTGAACACTAGCATATAGAAATATAATATGCACATACAAGTGTACACAGAGGCAGTAACTAACTCCAAAATAATTTAAATAATTGAAGAATGTGATTACACCGAAGATTAGAAGTGCGCAAAGTCAAAAGTTGAGATTAAAGTTATACAAGAGAAATATTTCCAGACGTCGACTCGAGAAAGTTTCGTCTTTGTCATGTAAGAAAGAACAGGATCGTTTGTTCAGGAAAGAATAAGGCTTTGATCATAAGTAAGATATTCCTTTTACTTGGCTTTTATGGCATTGTTTACAGAAGAAATAAGCAAATGCACACTTCAATTTCTTTATTTTCTACTTGATTGAAACTACGGGAAGTAACTTGAACTTTGTCTTTATGATTTTTTTTTAAAAGAAAGAAGATAGTATATGATTTCACGCAAATCTACTGTACAGATTTTAACTAAACTTTGTCAAGTGATAACTTATTACTCCTGTCAACATTTAGGATACCTTTGACTACAGGGAAATTTCTCATTCCCACGGGAAAATAATCAGCCGAGTTATCCTTGATTTATTACACAAAAACTATGGACGCAGGCTTAAAAATTAACATATTTAACAATCTAGTGCAGTAAAAACTCATTTTCATGGGAAAATTTTATTCTTATAATTAGTAGTGTAGTCGATGATCTATGTATGTATAATGTATATCTTTACCAACATAGTATAAAACAAAGTCGCCCTCAAAGTCGTCGTCTGTCTGTTTCTCCGCTTAATTCTTCTAAACCATGCAACGGATTTTAATACAGTTTTCACTAATAGGATGAGTGATAAACGAAGAAGGTTTGGGTTATTGTGCTATTTTGTACAAGATGGCTGAACTATGATAGTGTTTTGTCAAAAAAAAAAACCTGTAATTCTCGTACGCTCACATGGCTAACGTTTACTAAACCTTAAGAGGTATACCACTTACCAGAAAAATGTATTAGAATATTATTGGCCTTAAACAAACCTACGGAAAAGTCCGCAATAGTATATGTTTATCTCCAAATGTACTCTCACAATTATTATTTTTATCTATTTAAAACGTACCTACGGACTTCCCTAAGCGATGCTAGCATAAACCGCTAGTTGGTAATACGAGTACGTAACACAAATATCTATGTGCTAGTGTCATATTGATATATGTATATGTAAAATGCACTCAAAATCGCTATAATTTAAAAAAGCCGATGGTATAAAATTATTTTCAAAATAAAAATGTAACTTACTGAAGTTTCATTATAAAAGAAAAATCGTCAAAATAAAAAAAAAAAGAAAAAAAAACAAAAAACAAAAAATATATATAAATGAAATTGTCAGTAAAGCATTCAAAAAAAGTACCGAGGCCTTTAGAGTTTCTTTATTTTTTACACTACACATTTCTTTAAAACGATGCAGTAGCAAGAGGTCTGTTCACGAAAAGAAAATGTTAGCCATTCGTTAAAATTGTATGGACCACGAAAGACGTAAAGCAGTACAGTCTATTCATTTGTTTATTCCTTCAGTAGTATTTTTTTATTATTTAATATAACAATGCATAGTTGTGAAAGGCTGAACTAACTGTTTTTCACATAAAGGCTCTCACCATTTTTAAAAAATATTTTTCCTCCAAATTTTATATTAAAAAGTAGTGGAAATGTGTTTTTTTTTATATTTACTTTTTCTTTATTTAAACCTTTCACGACTGCGAACACGCCGGCATGTCAGTTAACAATAGATTTCTTAGAATTTTAATAAATTTCTTAGATATTTACCTGGAGATGTTGATATATTAATGATTTTGTTACTTTTACCCGAATCCTATATTTGTTTAAGTCTATAGTAAAATGCCTGTTAAAACTTAAATTATTCTCTTCAATTATTTCTGCTTAAACAAGATGTTATGGTACAGTCATTGAATAAATAATAATAAAATTATGGTCTTTCTCTAATGTCCCCTTGCTGGGCACGGGACTGCTTTCAACGCGAGGGCGATCAGGTATAGTCTACCACGATGGCCAATTGCCGGTGGCGGGTTATATTTATACATTAATATCTAAATAAACAATCATTCAACAATGGTTAAAGAGTAGAACAGACAGATAGACGACATTTTTTGTTCAAAAGATTTTTTTTTTAAAAGACTTTGGTATCATGCAAATATCTATATGAATTTAATAGGTATATATATGGTCTCTTGTATGAAATCGTAGATATATTTCACAGACCTTAATTTTATTGCTAAGCATAATATACGTACATAGTATTAAACTTATACATTCGCCTAAAATGTAAATTTGAAATAGAAAGAACAGAAATTCAAATAAAATACATCAAACAATATTAACAAGAATAGAATTTACAAATTAATTTCATTCAAACGCGCGACGGTATGTTAAACATACCTAGGTACTTATATACTCGTACATAGTTGATGGAGCTTTGTGAAAGACAAAGTAAAATGTTATACATACTTGAGATTCTTAAAAATGTTATGCTAATTTTACCCCTAAATTGTCATGGACGGTATGCTTTGACAAAGCTGCCATGTCTCGTGTTTTTATTTCAATTCTAGCTCAAATGAAAGGGAAGCTACTAGGGAAGCAGCTTTCCTTTATCTATCAAATTTTCCTCGATTAAGCTCGTTATAATGAAAAGAATTTCTGTAATATTTATAATATTCAACATAATTACTTTAACACTATGAGGTGCTAAAATTCTTATGAAGATAAATTAAAAATGACAACATTAATGAGTATTGATTAGATAAAAAGTTTCGTATAACTAAAGGTCTCTTGTACAGAGGTCACATCTATAGCATGCTCATAATTTTAATAGTTTAAATTATTATACTTGCATTATTTTTATATATTTAAAAACAAGTAGCTATTGTACTAATATGTATATGTATAAGTAATTGAAAAGCAGTTATAAGTATTTTTAATAAATATTTAACCCACGGTGTTGATACAATATTTTACTATTATTTAAGTATTATGTAGGTATAACTAGCGACTCACCCTGGCTTCGCTCGGGTTCGTCCCTAGGTTGATTCCCCATACAAACTTTCATCCCCATTTTCACTTTCATCTAAATCGGTTCAGTAGATCCAGAGATCAACTCCTACAACGTCACAAACTTTAACTCTTTATAATATTAGTATAGATACATTTTCCTTTTTGGAGTTTCATACAGTTTACTAAAAAAAAGTATTATTCAAGCGCGCGATAATCTACAAACACTTGTTAGCAAACACTAGCGAACGTAGGTCAGTAGGTAATCAGATCACATCTGGTAATATATAGGATTACTAAATTCTTTGTGGCTCTATCTATACATATAATAAAATTGTAACTAAGCCGAATCTGTACATTAAATATTTTTTGGAAAATCTTATTGAAATAGACATTATTATCGATACAGAGGCCGAATCTATAGTTTTTAGAATTTTTGTCTGTCTGTCTGTTACCGCATCACAGAAAATCCACTGGATGAATTTTGATTAAATTTGGTATGGCTGGTTATCCAGGTCAACATATAGGATACTTTTTACCGCGGGAAAATATCTCATTTCTGAGAAAAAATATAAAAACTGCAATGTAACAGTATACTAATATTTAAATCGTAAAAAATTTGTTTTTGGTCATCTGAACGCGGGCGGAGCCGCGGGCAATGCTAGTATAATATATAATGAGTAATCTGATGTAATCATAACCCGATTAAATATTATATAAATTATGCGTACATCACTTTATTAAATATATTGCCCTAAATGAGTCATAAGAAAATTTCATTTATAAGAGCTGCTAGTTTTCAAAACGACACAATTTATTTCTGTACAAGTTTATTGGTGTACGCTGTAATTGATTATTATTTAATTTAAATTTAACACTCTGTATAAAGTTAGTTTCAGATAAATATTGTGGTATATTTTATAAAGCAAAACAGTCAGTTTAGTGATTACAATTAATTTATAATGATCACAATTTTCTAGTGGCAAATATTTTCAGTATTCCAAAATGAATGCGATTTATCTAGTTCTATCTCTATGCGTTTTGCAAGTGCATTCAATGGCGCTCACGGGACCAGTTTTAACAAGATACCGGCCGTGCGAACTTGGAGTGATTCATTTCGACAAAATAACAGATTTGCTTTGGAGAGGCGAAATTGATCTGGAATTGTATCATAAGTTAGAAAGTGTTGAAATTGAAATTGGCTTCGAAAAACAAATTGGGCTCGTTGGGGTAAGCGTTTTTCTGTTTTATATAGTTCAAAATTTCTTATATTATTATAATATATTTTTAACACACTAATTTCACATACGTATTTTAGTTTTATTTTAATTAGCGACTTTACGCTTCGTTCGGTGCGTCTCTGGAGTCTGGATGTCTTTTTGCTATACGTTTTACCTATTGCTATTGGTTGTCACAAATTCCCTAGAATACGACTGCAGCGCTACGCACCTACGGGGTCCAGTTGTGAATCTAAACCATCCAGGAACCTACTCAAACACAAAAAAAATCATAAAAATCGGTTCAGCCGTTTAGGAAGAGTTCAGTGACATAAACACGTACGCAAGAATTATACAAATAAAGATAGGTACTCGTAGCTGATAAACATCTCAGTGACCAGTTTATTTCCAACTTCAAAAATATTATTGTTATTTCTTACAGTAAACACATTTATTATCGAAAAAAAAGAATAGCTTATAACACTCGACCGAATCTACCTGCTTGTATAATCCAGAATTAGATTTTAGATATTAGCAAACATGCCAAATTAAAAACTTACAAACTTTACTTCTTTGTAATATCAATGTACAAAAATAATTTAATAATAAATTAATTAAATATGTATATTCTCAGGTATCGCATAACAGTACTATTATTATCACCAACAAATCACACAATTTTGTATTCAAACCTAAAGGCGTTATTCCCAAGAAGTATTATTTATTTACATCAATCAATGGAAGCACAACACTTGAAGTACCCGTCGTAACCAACTTCAGACTGAATAATATGACTCTGTGCAATGAGCTTGTTAAGGTATCATGTTTATTTCTTTTACAACATTTTCTTTTGCATTTAACTTTAGTTTTATTATACAGAAAATGCTTTCGTACAAAGACTATCTTCTTTAAAACTATTTGTATGTTTTTTTTAGGAACCACCAGGTCACTTGGATTATTCTATACGGTTCTTATATTATTTTACTTATTATAATATTTAGGTCAATTATTAGATATTTTCCTGCAGTAAAAAGTATCCTATATGTTGACCCCGGTAAGCTATCATCATCAAAATTTGTCCCGTGGTTTTCTCGTGATGCGGTCGCAGACAGACAGACAGTCTGACAGACAAAATTTTTAAAAACTATAGATTCGGCCTCGATTTTTCAAAAAAAAAATATTGTACAGATTTGACTGAATTAGAATTTTATTATACGTATAGATAGTATAGTCAATGAATTCTTGAAATATATTTTTTCTTTAACCTTTAGGCTGCGCTAACTGTAGATTCCTTAGACGCTACGAAGCCAAATGATAAAGATTTGCTACATTACTGTGGAAGGAGACCCATGGAACATGGTGAGGTGACTTCAATGAGAACCGATTCTAAATCTGGCGATTGGCCGTGGCATGTAGCAATTCTAATAAGAAGACCAGATACGAACCTTGCCAATTATCAGTGTGGAGGAAGCGTTTTATCCAGGACTGCAATTCTAACGGGTATAAGCAATTTCCTTAGTGTTTGTAGAGCATTTCTGTAATGCCTTTTCTTTATTTTTTTCTTTTACTTTAAATATCGATTAATAAATACATTGAAATATACCATTTAATATTCGGTTTTGATATATTATATGCACCTTTATGCATGCAATGGTCACTATTCTAAACAAAAGCGAATTCATAGTTATCTTACTTTTTATCACATACATAAATAAATAATAAATAAATATGTTCGGACATTAAGACACAGCACCATCTAGTTCCATGGTAAGTTACGAGGCTTGTGTTATGGATACCAGATAGTTGATACACTACACATATATAACTTTAAATACATACCTATTATAAATATAAACACCCATGACTAGAGTACAAACATTCGTGCTCATCACACAAATGAATGCCCCCAGCGGGACTCGAACCCGCGACCGCTGGCACAGCATATACATGTATTTTATTATCCCCTATATACATGTATTTCATTATCCCCATAGAATTAAAAATAGTATCAATATATTAATATAAATGTCAAGAACAAAGAAAAATTTGTTTAAAATGATGTCAATAGATGGCGTTAGTTACATGTATCGATTTGTTATTAATGCTTTTGTAAAATTAGCGAAAGAAAGAAAACCCAAAGTGCGCATTAATTCTGATTTAAAAAATATTCTAAGAAAATTTTAACTAAAGCATTCTTAAATCAAACCGTAATTTTACTGACTGAAAATTCTGTTAGTGGGTAACTAGTGTATCTTACATACTTGTAGATGCTTATATTTAACTGAATTATTATCATGGCTAAGAATGCTTAAAGCTACTGAAATTTGTTTAATTAAATGCATATGTAATTAATCTTGGTATATTTTAGATATTTAAAAATTTAAAATAGTTTTACAGTTTGTAGCTTAACGCCATCTATAATCTATTCAAGCAAACTAAAGTAGTCTCAAGACTAATCTGGACTATGACCGTTCAATTTCTAAGTATGAGATGGGGTATTTGTATACTATTCAGTATAATATTGAGATAACTGTAGTTACAAATATTCAAAAAAAAAGTTAAATTAAAAATATTTTATTAAGTATCCTCATAGCCATTAAAATATATTTATCTATTGATAATATACTTTTTATAATTTTTTTTGTCTTATTCAAGTGTATAATTATTTATAACTTTATCTTAAAACAATTGCACTCATCTAGTCCCGTCATATAACACTATTTCTCACATCCATAAGTTGGCTGGAAGAGATCTCTTCTAGAGATAAGTCCACCTTTGCCCACATAGGTCTCTGTATTATCTGTGTTACTTTGTTAATATGCAATAAAGAATATATATATATTTTCAGCTGGCCACTGCATGTTCCTAAATGAAAATCAAATTGAAACAAGACGAATCGTCATTCAAGCCGGCATTTCAGATCTAAGAAACGTGAATGAGACTGGACGACAAACATTAAACGTAAAAATAATTTTATATAAAATATAGCATATAAAGAACCTACATTAATATGAAAAAAATATATGTAATTAAAAACATCTAAAGTCCAACATACGCGTAAATAAAGTGCGTTACATTTGAAACGTGAACATTCTACTCGTACATTTTAATTCTGCTGCTATATCTAATACATGAGCCAACTCATTGTTACGTTTGTATTAATCCATCTTTTATACTGTTTTATTCCAGGCTGAGAGAGTAATTCTGCATCCGGGTTACAGCATAGAGCACGCTACTTCAGACCTTGCTATTGTAGTTGTAAATAAACTGCACTATACTGAATACGTCCAACCCATTTGTATTTGGGGGCCAGTGTACGACAAAACTACGCTTTTTGGCAAGCGGGCTGTGGTAAACATTCATTTAAGTAATCTATACAATGAAATATATGCGGGTTACGTTTCCACATTTTTGTCCATTTCACGAAAACTAAAAGGATTTTATTTTTATTTTAACTTTCGCTGTGTTTGTGAAGTTATTATTAAACTATTTAAAAGGATATTGATCGATTACAAAAAGAAGTGTTGTTTTCTTTGTGCATTTTTACAAAGTGTAAACTGATATTCACTAATATTTTTTTATAAAGTATTTTTATCTATACTAATATTACAAAGAGTTAAAGTTTGTGAATTTGTGAGTTTGTGAGATTGTAGGGAGTAATCTCTGGATCTACTGAACCGATTTAGATGCAATTTGGTAAAAAGATAGATTGAGACCCTGGGAAGGATATAGGATATCTTTTATCCCGGAAATAATCCCCTCAGGGGGTGAAAGTGGGGAGAAAGTTTGTATTGGGAAGCAAGCTAGAGACAAACCCGAGCGAAGCAAAGGTGAGTCGCTAGTATACTTATAAAGAAATGTGTAATAAAGTCATTCATTTAATAATGAGAAGAAGTAGCTTTTTAGTTATTAAATAAATATTTATTATATACGACATGAAATTTCAGGTGGCAGGATTTGGTACGACTGAACACAATGTACTCTCCGATACTCTTAGAGCCACTGACACAGTGATCCAGAACGACACAACTTGTATTGCATATTCGCCAAATTTGTATTCGAAATTGCTTAATGAATTTACATTCTGTGCCGGCTTCGGTCCTAATGCCGGTAAGTATACTTTTGTGTCCGCTTTTTGTCTGATTTCCAAGTCTGAATTGAATTTTAACTGATGTTCGAAATGAATATGGATCGACTTGCGTTTGATTGTGTTGATAATTTTATTTTTATCTTTAACTTTTTTAGGGTTTTGTAGCCAAATGGCAATAATGAAACCCGTGATTATAAAATCATGTTACTTATATATGTATACTAAGCTAGAAACAGAGTTTAAAAGAAATAGAAAGTGCACTTGAGTCTGAGCATGAGTTAAATCTCCTGCACAAACTAATCTCAGTGAGATTGGTCGTCGTTGCTGAACTACATGCTCTAAATAAAAAAAACGCTTTGTTTATAAAATGTTCATATCTTAGAGAAATTTAATCAAACATTACTTATTTAATAAACATATTAAAATATTGTTTAACAGGTATTAATCCTAGAAACGGAGACAGCGGAGGTGGTTTAACGTTTCCAACTATGCAACCCGACCATAAAGTGAGTTGGTTCCTTCGAGGTGTATTATCCAAGTGCGGCTTATTAACTGGTCAAAAACTTTGTGATCCAAAATTCTATGTCGTATATACGGATGTCGCCCCTCATTATGGTTGGATATATCACAATGCTGGCTTACGATACTCTAGTAATGCTATTTCATGATTATCATATGTAATATTCATACAAATTGAGAGGCTCAAATATTTAAAGTATGATTATGAACAGTTAGCACAATTATTATGACAACTTACTAAAGTTTTATGTCATTAGGAAGAATATTACTGAAAAACATGTACTATACGAGTATATGTACTTATATGAACTATATAAATGATGATGGATATTACGTATAATTATATAAAATTATTAGTTATTAAATGCTATTGGAATTGAATTCCAGTTTCAGAAATAGTTATTTCATAATCTGATTTATGAAAATATGTACAAACCATATTATTAAAAAGAAAATATTGAGATGAGTTCATGTTTATACATATACCGAAATAATAATAATGTATGGAGGACGGCTGTAATTATTAAAAATAGTTTAAGTTCTAGTAATACATAAAATTATATTATAAATTAAGAATGTGATGAAATAAATAAATAGCTATGATTACTAAGTATATTAATTTAACATCTTTATATTTCACTAGCGATTCAGCCTCTCTTCGCTCGGGTTCGCCTCTAGAAAAACAAAAACAAATGTATCCCACGGAAACCGTACATTTTTCCGGAATAAAAAGTAGCCTATGTGCTGTTCCAGACTATCATCTATCTTTGTGCCTTTCATCCCAATCCGTTCAACCGTTCGGGCATGATTGAGTAACAAACATCTATCCAAACATTTAAACTTTCATATTTATAATATAAGTAAGGTTGTCTTTGAATACAATGATAATACACATTTAAAAAAAATAAAACGCTTAAAACCATTTAAAAGTACATATATTTTATATTGTAAGCAAATTTTTTGTTTAAAAATGTTTGTCTTTGTTTACTTTTTACGAAAAATGGCTGGATGAATTTTAAGTTACATGGCGAGATCGAGTCCATGCCTCTGAGAAATTTTGGGTTCTTTTAAACTGGTATGGGTACTTATATCCAGCAAGGGTTCCTGCAGAAGAGGCGATAAAAGTTTTTTTACAAATACTGTTACTTTTCAGGACTGTAAAGCAATAATCATGCCAATATGCAGAATTTTTTGTATATTGGCAAAATTATTGTTAAAAGTAGTTTCTACATTCAGTACAAATTTTCTCCCTTAAACCCCAACGGTTTCCGGCAGTATAGGGGATAAAAGTTTTATGAAAACTTTGTAATAATAACATAACTAATACATATAAAACTCGCGAAAATTATGACCACGGTGGACCGCAACAAAATTCATCAATTGACATTTAAGGATATGATAATGAATTTAGTTAGCTGTTAATATCAAATACCTACTTGTTAACCTATCTGTTTAATGATTAGTTAAAAAACTAAAATGAAATGAGAGAATTGTAAATATTATTTTTAAACTTTGAGAAATCTTCTTCTCCCTGCCCATTTCCCAAATCACTTGGGGTCGGCGCAGTACATCTTCAGTGTACTGCTGATAGGATTTGGCAAAAGTTTTACGACCGGCCGCCTGCCTGACGTTTAATGTTATTTTTGGATATATTTTAAAATAAATTTCGATTACACAATAAATTTTGTATTCACATTGTCATTTTTTTTTCTTCTAAAAAAAAAAATTGAGAAATATGACTAATATAAATTAGCACTTTCATTTATTAAAAAAAAAGTTAAACCAATGTAGATATATAATATAAGCAACTTACTCTCGTTTTGCCCTGTTCGGTCCTAGACGCCTTTTTGGCTTACATTTTATCTCTTTATTCCAAACCATTCAGGCAGTGCACCACGATAAAGCAACTCAACGGCCTGTTTTTTCCGACTTCCATTACTGTTATTATGATTTCTGACAGCAAACACATTTAAAATAATAGCCTTAAATTAGCGATTACTCACCCCCTACATACAAACTTCAAAACTTCAAAAGCGTCGTACTTTGGCAAATTGTAATACTATAATAATATAAGTAAACAAACATACACACGCGCACTCATATAATACAAACTTTTGCATTTATAGTAAAAGTGTGATAATTATTGCCCATAACTGCTAATCATTGATAGTGTTGTACGTACTCGTAACGAGTTCTCATAAACGTAGAGCGAGCGTGACGCCCGTGTGAACTGCGCGCTTGAGCTTATAATGAGGCAGGCTGCATCGCAACTTGACCGCAAAAATACGCATGATGAGATAAAGATACGCAAAAAAAGCGTGGATCTGATATATCCTGCTGTTTCTTCAAACAAAACGTATATTAATTCAAACAAAATGTACGTATTATGTAAGCGAATTTTTGTATACCGATCCGATGCGACGAGGCATACCCGATTAATATGCACTCACCTTAATTGTCACCAGTATAACTTAACAGTTGAATCAGCATGCATTTGTACCGGAAGCATTAAAATATGCTAATACTGGAATATGTAAGCTTTGAAAAAGAATAACAAATAAGAAGAAACTCGCCATGTGGGTGTATATTTTTTGTATATGTTACGCGATAACTTGCTCTTTGTAAATCGATTTGAATATTTGTTTTAAGTGAACTTTACCTCTGTGGTCCAATCAAATTTGGAAAAAATCCACCCTAGTAAGAGTAGAATAATTACTTTTAAGATCAAGTTGGTGTAATTTTTTCTTACGATAAAAATCATTATCTTTTATGATTTTCAAATTCGAACCTTTATAAGCATTTATGCATTACCGGCTAATAATTTAATATTTTATTCCTTAATTATCATTTTATCTATATTGCTATGACGAGATCAAAGGTTAAAGACTATATAAAATATATATGACCATTTATGACCCATAATTTATTCGCAATTTTGTTCAAAAATATGTAGCTAAAACGACAGTAAGGTTGTAGTACATTCTAAATTTATTTCACAAACTTAGATATCATAAATAACAATATACTATTATAAATGCGAATGTTTTTATATGTGTGTTAGTATTTAGCAAAGACTGAATGCATTAAGATGATGTTTATGTAGTTACTAGCGACTTACCATTGCTTCGCTCGCGTTCAGTCATAAGTACGTTTAACGGTTAATATAGAATAGATAATCGATCCCTTGGTCTATGAAAAACAAAAAAAAATCTATGCCACAGGAATCGTACATTTTTTCATGATAAAAATTAAGCTACTATAATCTATTTCCGTGCCAAATTTCATCCAGATCGTTTCAGCCGTTCTGGCGTGATTGAGTAACAAACAAACATCCATCCAAATTTTCGCATTCATAATATTCATGGGGTGTTGGACTCATCGGCTAGAAAATCCAGTAGGTATTACCCAATAACACTCAACAGAGTGATCCCTGTCTTAATGGGGCGTCGCAGGATTAATTTCGCGCTCAACCACAACGCTCCGACGGCTGCCTGCCGAGGCAAAGCATAACAACCATGGGGCCGCTCCCACGGTACTCTCTGCTATTAGAGAAGTACCAGGAGCAACTCGCAAGGAACACAGCCCACTGAGATGGACCTCGCAAGTGCGTTCCTTGAATTCACGCTCGGCGAGACTGTCGGACTCCAATAAGCCCACCACCACAACAAGGTGAACACATATTTAGTCTACTCAGGTACCTATGGATGAACCCTAGCAAAGCGAAAATTCGAGTAAGTCGTTAGTTAATAACAATATTAAATAAAACTGCCTCATTTAATTTTGATTAAAGGTAGCCGTATTCTGATTATTGTTTATTCTCGTGATTAAATTGCGTATACTTACACAAGACCGTAGGTTAAGGGACCGTTTTTTATTTCAAAGAGTAAATATTGTAATATCTTCGCACAGGGGGTCTCTTATGCTTGAGGCGACTTATTATGAAAATATTCCCTTTTTGTAAACTTTATCATACTCGTAGGTACGCGACAAAGTAATTCATGTTTGCCTTTTGTAAATGCTCATTCTTTTAATACTCATACATTTGAAGCAATAAATATATTATAGATTTACATAAAGTATCAAATATATTATAATTTAACTTTAGTTATATTCTTTTATATAAACATATTAAAAAAATCACAAGGTAAACGAAAGATTTAATTGCTATTTAAAATTATGTAACTATACATTTTTTAAAAGCAGTTAAACCAAATAAGGTATGTACTATGTATATTCTACATGTTTATTAATGAATACAACTTTTAAAAGAAAATGGATATTAGAAAATTCAATAGAGTCGCTTGAATATCATTCGGGGACATTTTTTAATAAAAAATCACGTAATTATGCAGAAACTGCGCCATCGAGTGACACGACTCGACGCGGCGTAATAACGTCGACAGGTTTTGTTCTACGGAGATATTTCATTTAATAAAGTTTTAAATTAAAATATTGAATTAATATTTTCATGAACTTTTAATTATATATTTTATTCGTAGCGTCATTTCCTTACCCAAAGCTACGCGACATCAAAATTTAAATAGGATTTGCTCGAAATTTGTACATTTAACTTAGTTAAACCATAAAAACCGACAATTAAATAATCAACAATTTTTATATTTATCTCTAAGGGATGTATAATTCAATACCAGACCATTAATTATATTACAATTTAAACTCTATTAACTTATTCTACAACAACAAATTTTGCTTCTATTATATAATATCAAACATTTTAAAAAATTAGAAATATTTAAATATACATTTTTTCAAAAAAAATATTTTAATGTTTTGAACTTACAGTTTGCCACAATTCAATATATTTGTACAGATTACATGAAATGTAATCCGTACAAATATATTAAATGAAATGTAATGTAAAAAGAATTAGGGTTCCTCGCAAAAAATTAAAACCCTTGAAATTGTGACCAAAATCCGCGTACCTAGGGATGCACTCGTTACAAATAAATCCTTAATAAACTTACAATACTATACTAAACTTTAGTAAATATAATAAACGAAACGGAAAATAATATAGTTTATTTTAGCTTATTTTTAAATTTAATAAATCTGAATGGAAAATCTTGAACCACTTGAAACTCAGAACTCAGCAAACGTAACGTAAGATAAACAATTCACAAGACCC